AATGGGATGATGGTCGGTGATGCTGGAGGTAGATGCAAGGTGGGATGGCAGTCCTTTTGTATATCTTGGAGCTTGGGAAGAGGTCTTGTGCAGGAAGATTAACGGGCAGCGGTGCACAGATGTGGTGCCAAAATAGGAAATGGGAGAGAAGTGTCGAGGAGGAGGAAGAGGAGGACCCGGCGACGGGCCAAATTGGACAAATTAAGACGGTGATTTGAGCACACTGAAACTGACACGAACCAGCCTCAGACGAAAGAGCCCCAAACTAGTAGGTTCTTGTGAATCGGACCGTGGAGACTTTGACTGAGAGTAGGTTGGTAGGTAGACTTGTGCTTGTGAGGTATCCGTAGTAGAGCAAAGTAAACTGGACTGGACTGGAGAGGAAGAAGCGCACAGCCCACGGATGCTTAATGCCTTGCTATGTATCTGGGAACGAGGCCTTTGCTGATGTGGGGGAGGGAGGATGGTTTTGACGGAACAGACTAAACCTGAACTAGCCCAGAGCTGCGAGGCATGGGCAAGGGTGGCATGGCAAGAGGACGATCAGGGTACAAGCAGGCCGTCGATGAGGAACAAGAAGGAGGATGGGATTGCCCATCTCGACCAGGGTCGCAGGACCACACCGTCCGTACCCACACCCAGTCAGGGCCTGGTCCTAGGATTGCTTCGGTGGCGTTCCCTTTGGCGGGCAACGGACTGATTATGCTAGCTCGAGGTGGTACTTGAGGATGTGCCAGCAGGACAGCATGGATAGGGGTCTGAACGAGAAAGAAAGTGACCAGGATACAAGAAGAAGAGTGGAAGAGATGGGAGAAGCACTAGCCTGCTCGAACAGTGACACGAAAAAGAGCCACTAGGGAAGCCGTAGCGTCTGTGGGCAGGGGTCTACTTGTGCTCCCCGGCTGCTCGTGGGCTCCCACCCGGGGCCAGGACGGTTGTGATGTACGTAGTGTAGATGAAATTGCCCGAAGGGGGGGCGCGCGCGGCGCCGGCGGATTATGGATATGGAGATACTTCAGTTGGTACGGAGTACTCAAGAGTCAATGGCGCTGCATTACTCCAACGACTTGACCACCTGCTACGGATACACTATTCAACGTGCCATCACATATGCAACTGGCGCGCTGGCTTCAACCAGTTACCTCACCTTCCCAGCCAAGCCCCTTCATTGTCGCTTGCAACGCTCTGGCCGCGCTCAGGTCCTATGATGGATTAAAGTGAATAAGACTTCCGTCTCCGTAGGCAGTCCTTGTATAAGAATCAAGGATAAAATAGAGATTTGCACAATTGACATAAATGAAGAATAGGCCCCCATCAACTAGACCGGGGGTTGGCACTGGTGGCCTGGTTCCTACTCTGGTACGTAACGGTCTCTGACCCGGCTGGCCGTCATTTCCTGATCGGAGCAGGTTCAGCGAGGGAACATGGTAAACCGGAGATGGGTTCAGTATACGACAGATTCTGTCCAATATTGACATGAATGAGTGCCCATAGCATTACCGAAAGAAAGATGAAGTCTAACAAAAGCGATAAAGGTCGAGCAGTGAAGGCCCTGTCGGCTCTATCCACCACCCTCCAACCTTGAGAATCAAGGTCCCGGATGTCGTGAACGGCAATACAGCGATCACCCCCAAGAAATTATCTGTTATTCAAGATGGCGTTCTTGACCCGCCGAACAACTGCCGTCCGAGCTCAGCAGTCCAAAATAGAAGACAGCGGGAATCCTGAATTTTCCTGAATCTCTTGCTGGACCAACCTTCATCGTCCGTGAGCAATCGGCTCTTGAAGAATGGTCAACATAGCCGTAGAAGAGGACTAGTAACTCTCGAGCTCTCGAATCTCTCGATTTAGCATCTTGTTGTTGATGGGCGAAATCCATCGCTCGTGCTCGCGCCCTCGACCCAGGGAGGCGCCGTTAATTCTGCAAATACCAGCAGCTTTCTTTTTTGTGCACATGGTCAGGGAGTGAGACAACTCTCAACACTGTCAGGCATACGTCCAACATGTCATGACTTGGAGACATCTTGACAGGAAAGGGAACTCCCGTCACGAAAGCGAATGGTGGTGTGTCACAAAGCTGCAATGGGGCGTATGGTTCTGCAACTGGTTGTTGAAGTTCCGGTTCGAGCTCGTATGCCAATATGCGCGTGTGTGCATGTCTGGTGTCAAGTTGGTGGTGTGTCTGACGAGTGTGCCTGCGGATAAGGTGAATGGATGGACAGACGATGTTTTCATGGAGGGGGGACTGGGGGGTAGGCCAGGAGAGTAGCAGCCAGGGGAGCCCTGACGTGATGGCGCTCCCCTGCTTGTCTTTTCTCGATCCCGTCCACGCCCCCTCCCCTCCCCCAAAATTCCTGTCTAACAGCCATCCTAAACAATAGGGCGGGTCCGGAAGTCTCCTGGATGGGAGGAGAGGTAAGCAAGCAAAGGTTGAGTTGTGCGCTAGAGCGGCTATGCCATCCGCCGCTGACACGCCCACCCCCTTCAGCCCAATCCTAACGCTATTCAGGTATCGCATTCTTGTGCGAGTCCTGAATAAGGTCCGCGAGCGTCGCAGGCTCAAGTATTTGACATAGCCGCGCGAGTCTGTCGACGAGTGAGAGGGCAGGGAACACGATTCAAACGTCCATCCCAAGCTTTCCCAAGCTTTGGGTTGAAGAAACCAAGCCGATGAACTCTGTTGTTGTTTTCCCTTTGCCTTTGACTCTCCAAGCCACCCGTCAATCGCCCGGTCGCAGCTGACGTCTGTGACGTGCCCCAAACTTCCCTCGTGGGTGTGTCTGGGTGTTCTTGGGTTCAACCAGTCGCTGAGCTTCCAACTTGGCTTGATGCCTCGTCCGCAACATTCGATGATGGTGGCTGTGCTTGTCAACAAAAGCCATGGCACCTCGACTCAAGGACAACCGATGTAGACTGAAACGGCATTCACCATTGGATGCTTTTCTTCCGTCCGAGTGTTTTGGAACAGTTGCGTGCGATGTATGCGGCGCGGCTGTCCATGACGGGTCACGTCTAGCTATCGGATCGTTCTGACATTTGCCTTATCAGGAAGTGTTTGCAGGCCTGACTTCAAAACGAAGCATCCATTTGAGCATAGTTGCTGGTCTGCGATTGGTGATGATCAAACTTTGACAAGTGTAACTTTTGTCACTCAACCCTCCCCCCTCCCTGGTCTTTCTCCCCGCAAAGCATCGAGGTGCAGCGTGTCATGCGGCTCAAGGCGTCTTCTTTCTGGCTCCATATCCTATTCGTCGCCCATTGTAAGCCGCCCACAGAATGTGTAATTTTTTATTTACTTTTTCTTCAGCAACGTCTTTGCGTTGTTGAGGATGCACTCAGGGCTGAGAGAACCACCGAGTCAGAGAGACGCACTAAGTGCATTCTGGTCAAGACCGTTGACTACCGTTTCAACTTCTGGTAGAAGACCTTTTTTCGGAAGCAGGCTAATCAGGGTATTGGGGCCTCAATCGTCAAGCCTCAACTCCAGGAAGGGGCCGAGTCTGTCGTCTGTCGCAGGGTACACAGGCAGCGCCTCCGGAGCCGAAGCCGTCCGCGCGAGGGAGAGCTGTCAAAAACGTAGATCTACCGCGGTGATCATGTGGCCCCGGTCAGCACCACAATTGACTGGGCCTGTCTGTGGCTGGAAAGGAAGTGGCAGGTTCCGAGTAGCATCAATGTTTTGCCCTGGCGGCCGTGGCGAATCCTTGCGACGGTATTGCCTGGGGTCCCACGATGTTTTTTCTGCTCACAATCCCTTTGACAGGTCCCAGAAACGGCTCAAGGCGTGTGCATGACAGCTCGAAGGGCTGGAAGGTTCGTGAGATCTAGGTAAACAAGAATTGCGATTGGCTGTAAGGTGCGACCACGGTATGGTTGATCTGAGGTTGATCGGAACCAAAGATGGGATTGCTCACGTTGTCAAACGCATCCTCAACTTGCGATTGGCTCTTCAGGAACTGTCATGAAGGCTCCTTGTCAGGTGTCGCCTCAAGTTGCTGCGCCCCAAGAGTTGAGTTGGGGTTCCGTCGGAACGGGGTGCACATCATACACAGGAGTGCAGACCAGGCGAGACGGAAGCCCGGGTGCTGACTGATGGGTCGACAGGGGCCATGGTGTCTTCATGAGCCTGACGTTCGAGATGTACTCCGTATTGTAAGGAAGAGACGTTGCAGCTGTGGTGCCTGTCGTCCTTTGAAGGGACGTGCCGAATGGATATTCAGTCCAGAATACAGTCTGCATGTTGCTTCGAGTGCCCTTGATTTGGGTCGCCCATCTGTTTAACTCACTCCTCGAGTAGTCCGCACTCCGACTGGCTCAACTGGCTCAGATGGCAAAGGGCAGCGTGATCACTTGCTGGCCCTGGCGCGGCGGTTGACGGCATCCCGGTTCCCAGACGCCCCCTGCTGGCTGGGTTTGTTTGATATGGTGAGAATGCAGTGCGAGGCCGATCCCGTCACAGCTGCGAACTCTGGGCCAGAATCCAGTCGTGTCTCTCGGGTTACTCATTGTCAGGCTTTGCTGCTCTTTTTTGCTCAGCGGTTCAGCAATGGCCAGCATGACGATCCCCCAGACACTTTGCGCTAGAGTAGCATGTTAGCCAGAGCAACCACGCGGACTCTGCGCCCACTGCAGGTACCGATTCCTCCGGCGATACAACGGCCTCTCCCAGCGCAGAGCGGCCCATGCGATAGGCCAACAGTCTGTGTCTAGGGCTGGCAAGGACGACAACCGCTGCACGCCACCAGCCAACGGGCTCTTTGTTGGTTGATGCATGCTTGTCGCAACGCCGAACAAGAATGACAGCGCACAGTACATGGTTGGTTTTGGCGCTTGTGATGGCGACTATACTGCCTTTTGGACGTAGGAAGCCAAGCTGGGTGCAGAAAGCTCCAAGCTCCATGAGCACGTTCGCACGGGATCAGGCTAGATAGAAGATGGCACCGTAGTCCATCGTTGGCTTGTCTGAGGTCGCTGTGTTGTTGGATGGTCCAAGTGCATATCTAGGGAAGATGGATGCGTGCTGGTTCGTGAAGTGATACGGACCAGCCAGGGCGGGGTCGGTGTTTGCTTGTTATGAAGTGCATGAAATGGCGTATATTGTGTTGTAACGGTTGGTTCTTCTGTCGTGCAATATGCATCGCCATCGCCATCGCCGTCACCAGCTTTGGATCTGGGTCACCGGAACGCCTCTCCAGGCCGGTCGGGATTGCACATGGCGCTCTTGTCGACACGGCGGTTGTCTCTGGTTGGCTGAGAGCGGCAACGGCAAGGGTCGGGTGATGGTGGGAGGCGCGGGAGGCTGCTGGTTTGCTTGCCCAGATCTCGTAGCCGATGCTGGGTATCGATCTCGGGGATGCACTGTACCGACTCTCATCTGCATGGCATGAGGGATTTCCACCCTTGTGGTCGCTATTCTGTTCGTTCGCCATTGCCACAACCATCGGTATGGAGCTCCCGATGGCGTGTATCTGTATGCATCGATAGGTATTCCAGCTTACCGCGGTAGGCTTGACCGACAGACCCAGGGTAGTGGTCAGTGGTGATGGTGTGGAGGGCGTTCTGCTTGTACCCGGCCTGGCGCGTGCATCGTCTTCAGACTTTCAGTCCTCTGGTGCGATTGGCATCTGGCACGCATGGCAGGGGCGCCAGCTCGAGGTGCGACGCAGAAGCTGATGCGTCCTGATTAGATGGCATCTGCATACGTCCGTCAGAGAGGAGCCTGGCTAGCACAAGTCTGAGATGTGCATAAGATGCATTGTTTACTGAGGTGCCTTAGCCTCAAAAGTGAAAACTACATCAATTTCGTTCGGGCTGTGTGGTTGTGACTAGTGATTTGGGAGTTATCCGCAGTATTACCTAAGGCAAGTCGTCTCTCTAGGTAAGGTAGCTTCCCTATTACCTTAGGTATTAATGGAGCCAGGTACGTGCCCCGGTTATCCAAGCTTTCCTATGACCAAGGTCTAGCTGGCCAATGAGCAAGTGGTGCAGCTGGTTCTTTCCATTAAGGTCCGAAAAGTGGATACGCGGGTTGAGGTCGGGTTGAAGGGAAAAGAGCCACTGGGTGACTTTGCAACTGGTTCTTGCACTTTGCACTTGCGTCTGCCGTCTCACTTGCACCTGCCATTTTCCTTAGCGGCCAGCCTCCTTTCCTCCTTACTCTTTTCTCTCGTCGCACTTTCTTCCTATCCCCTCATAAAACGTCAAACCAAAGTTAGGTAAGGTAAACAATGGAATCAACGACTCTCAGACGGGACACAAATAGCCACTACGCTCATAACACTAGTCTGCTTTCGCCCAAGCCGTGGATCTCTAGCCCAGACTTCCCATTTCCATCAGCAATGGGCTGGGCCGCCAGCATAAGCAGAAGACAGCGGGCTCCAGCAGCCTGACACAGCTGGCTTCAGAGACGGCCATCTCTAGTCTCCTGGTAGTTCCTCAAAGGCTCACCGACCTTGCCGTTCAGGTCTTCGCACGATATCACGCCCCCAGAACGTTCGAAAACAAGTTCCGATTCCCGCACGCCGTTGCGTCCTCAGTTCCGCCCAGACGTCACTTGACACACGGGCTACATGCCGATGGCTTGCTTCTACACCGGTACTGAAGGAGATTAGAGAGAAAATAGAAGTGTAATCTTATTGTGACCTTGCAGAAAACAGAACCCCCCAACCTCACTCTGGCAAGGCTGCAAAACCGACAAGTCATAGTCGGAAGCAGGTAAAGGACGGACAGCGAGTGTGACTTGCATTGAATGTCGTCGACTCCCTGTCTGGGCCGGCCCCTGGCCCCCGGTCTCGAATCTGCCCTGCCCGCCCAACCGTGACATTGACCCTTGGCTGGCCTTGGACCTTGAGCCTTACTGTGTACTAGGTAAGGGACGCCTGGCGTAAGCAGAGGCCCACTTTCCATCTCCAAGGTGAATTGGATTGATGAATTGTTTGCCTGCAAGTTGCAAGCGAAAGCAAGTGCAAGGTCTCGGCTGTACCTTGCCCTGTTCTCTGGACTGAGTACTCCGTACGGGGTATCTGTATCTGTGTCTGATCTGTCTGAATGCCGTATTTGGGACAGATATCCGTACCTTCCATGACAAAGTACCTTACTTTTACCCCTAAGAATCAGTTAGAAAGACAAGGACGGTACGAAGACAATCAAGCTGGGAAGCTCCAGTGCGGTGTGCGCCGTGCCTGCCTCACGGAATATTGGGCCCAATTATCCGTGAGCATCTCTCCTTCCGGAGGAGACCCCTTCCACACTGCCCCTTCCCATTGGTTCCCATCCAGGAACTGGTAGATGGAGCGGGGAGGCTTTTTCCGATCCAGATTTCTCATTTGCTAACCGTCCACACCCGTCTTGACCGGTGCCATAGACCCGGGCATGACAACTGCTGCGAACATCCGCCAACGATGACCCTTTCCGATGTGATATGTGATGAATCCGAGGGGAGACAACAAACTCACCAACCTCACCTTCACCGATGGCCATCGCCGGTATCTGGGCCACGCATATGCGCAAGCCGCACATGCGCCCGATGGCGCTTCTCCTATCCCACCCCCATCCAACCACTCACACCAAGCACCAGCAAGCACACCAAGGACATCCATCATTTAGGCACTTGTGCAAGTAGCCGGCCCTCGTACTCGACCACCCTTCCACAGAAACATGTGCCATGCCCGTGTACATCGGACACTTCAATGGACACTCTGCTGGGAGCCCGATCAACAAACAACCTCCGCGAGCACACGCACACACACAGGCTTCTTATCGTTCCCAATATGGCACCGTCAAGCGCGGGTTCCTTCCGGTCCACGCACAGAACCGACCGATTATTCGGTGCCGTTTCAAATTCTGGCCAGACTCATTCTTCGGCGAGGTTAAACGTTTCTACCTGGGCAAAACCGAAGCAGACTAGAAGAACTCTGCTCTTCCTACTGCCGTCGTGGGATTGGCCCCCCCGTCAGTTATCTTTTCCCCGTCGTCCCAAGGCTGGACGCCACAGGCTGCGCGTTGACATCCAGGACCGACTTTTGGCTATCAAATCGGGACCGAGCCCCATCGAGAATACATCGACATCGTTCTACGACGTCGGAAGTCGACTCTTCTTCAATCCGTTCAGGGGGGTGGTAATTTAATTCCCACAGTCGACTTAATCAATCCCTGAGGGACAGCTGGGAACTTCCGTTGTCTGCTCGTCTCCGCTCCTTGGAAGCCTTTGACCAATCTTCCAAAAGCCTCAGCCATTGGGCGGTCCCGACATCACTAATCATCATTCAATCACAATCTACCGCCATCATTGCACGTTCCCGCTGCCCTGTGCGCCGGAGCACACGCCCACCCGCAGAACGGGACAGGATGATCTTCCCACTGGACTCATGCTGGAGCACTTTGTAGTGCTAGCTGATGGGCTCCAGATGCTTGTCTGTGTGCCTGCCTACGCCTGACAACGCGTACACCCCATTGGCTGGCAACATCGTGTCAAGCAAACTGCATACATGAGTGCTGTCGTTTCTTTGGACCATGTCCGAATCCCCTCAGCTCGCCCGCCTCGCCGATGCGGCCAGATGCAATTTGCATCGGTCGGCACTGCAGACGCCAGCAGCATGCGCGATCTTGACTCGCTGCCGTTCCCAAATCGATCTTGCTTCCCGTCTGCACATCGCTCAGCGCCAAGTACAATACATACGCTCACGTTGCCGCCCTTCTGATTTGTCCGAACCAGCGATTTTCAGTACCACCGGGCATGGCAGCGGTCAACGCGGTCCAGCTTCACCGCGCACTTTTGCTCCTCCACCTTTCAAGGGTAAACAGGGGATTCACGGGCTGCTGTGGAGGTTTGCCTTGTCATACCCACACGATCCAGGTCCGTTCTGACCGCATTGACAAGGAATGATGTACGGGGGAGTGAACGATGGAACCCTAAAAATACCCCGTGTCACAACAGTGTATGCTCCGAATTGCTCCCGAAGGCGTTCATCCGCGACTTAGGTTGGAATGGCGCCCGCCGACTCCAAACATTTTCCCCGAGGCTTCAGGTAGCTGTCAGGGATGTCTTTCTAGAAAACTTTGAACGCAACAGCACAATTGACGGAAAAACAATTCTAGCACATTTTCAAATCGACTGAAATAGAACATAACATCGATTAATAGTCCGCCCGAACGGACACAACATCACCATCGCGTGGTGAGCGTCTGTTCGCCTCAACGCCTCATGTTTCAGAAGACCCGATTGACTTGCTTCAGCCTCCCTTCATCTGTTTGCACGGATTATGGCCCAGATATCCGTCCTGCGATGTGCCATGTCGGCGGGCGGCGCGATTATGGACGATTGTGCTGACAATCCCTCCAGAATTTTATTTTTGCTAAATTTTCCAACATACGTACGTCCTCGCATCCTATCTGTCGAGACTCGAGCGGCATGTCCGGTCTGTATTGCAGAAGGGCCCGCAAAGGATCGCTGAGGTGGACATTCGAACTCCAGGTTGTTGCGCACCAACACATGGCTTTTACGGATATCGTACGTTTGACAGCTCCACGATGTCTCCATCAGGGAGAAAGAAACGGGACTCGTTGTTCTCGACGAAATGCCAGGCTTATTCGGCCTGCCAGATCGCTGGGTGGCCCACTCAACCGCATTTGCAGGGGTCATATTCGCAAAAATGACCAAACTAAGCAAAGATTACCCGTCGCGAGGGTTCCCATCCAGATGGATCTCCTTTGTCAAGACAAGGGGACGGCTTTCCATTAATGAGACGGCAGAGCCCGCCAGCTGGGGTGCTTTCAGGGATGTCTTGCTACCGTACCACCCCAGTAATCTTGTTCTTCTCTGGGCCCCACGTTTCGATTCGACTCGGAACCGGCTCCGTCCCTATTTCACTACCGAAACGTACCGAACTGGCGACCATGTAAGGAGCCACTTGGTGAACGTCTGAAGTCTGGACACGAACACCACTGATGCAGTCTACGAGAGAATAATTGCAAGCACGCGCAGGCCATACGAAGCGGTGCAACGCCAACGCTGAGGACGCTACTCAAGTATGGGGGGCCAGCTGAGAACGCAGCGGGAGAAATTCTGCCATCACGACCTTGTCAAACTCTAGGGCAACGAACGAGTGGGCTGCTTTGCCGTAGTTGTCATTCCCGGGGGTTTGGTCCTTTGATACAGCCCAGGGACCGTATCCAGCACGCTGCCGTGGAGAGACCAACAATTGTTCGACGACCCTGGAGCTGGATGACAGGACCGCGCCAGTGAATCGTGGCAAGATCGATAATCTTGCAGTAGCAATCCTCCATCGCCTGTCAAATGTGGATGAGCCGCACCCTTCCGGTCTGACACCTCATGCCAACAATCACCGCCTCAATGACCCGCTCATTCAGGTTGGGCCTATGGGCGGGCCTTTATTCTATTGTGGCCAGAGCCCCTTGCTCGCGCCTCTTGCGAACCGCTGAGGTCAAGTCGGTCTCGCAAAGACGGGCTTGACGAGTTGACTGTGCTGCACAGTTGTGGTCCCTGGAACCAGCCGCATGGTTTACCTGTTCTAGGCAAATAGTCGAGGACTCCCAGTCTACGATACACCCTTGACTCCTAACACTGCTGTTACTCACGGCGTCGGTAACTACTAACAAATACAACGGCTCTCTACATCAGTAGCTCCTCAACTGGAAGGACGGCTTTACGACAGGACGACGTGCAGTAACATACCGCAACCGGCGTGTTACCAAGACTCGTGTTATAGCCTGTCATCTGGCAGCTTCTCGTCCACATGACACAGAGTCCGTGCTTGTTTTCGGTCTTCAGTCGGGACAGAGCTCAGCGTGTCTTGTACTCTGCGGAACCTTCAACTCGTAACAGAGTTATCTGTGCACATTCTGTTCTGTTGCGTCAGTATGTCTTCGCAGTGTGTCCAAGAGGCTTGGTCAAATGTCCGCCAGTTGGATACAGGATATAGCCATGACCAAGCCGTATAACTGATCTTCGGTCTAGCCACAATTAGTTCCTGGGATCTGGAGACCATTTGTGGAACTCGGGTTATCTTCAGAGTATAGTTGATACAGTACGAAGTACAACCTCATGGATAGCTAGCAACTCGAACAGCACCGAAAGTTTTGCTTTTTTTGCGAGATTCCTTCTAGCAGTTTGCTGCAAGATGAAGCATGCTCTCGCATGATCTACGACCGATAAGCCAGATGCTTTGCTTTTCGAATGTGGACTATGGCCGACGTCCCACCGGTTTCCTGCATGCTTCTGATCAGTGATGGATTTTGACGACGAGAGAATGTCGAATGACTACCACGCTATTGACCAGTAAAGGCTAATATACTTTCGATCCAGGTTCTACAGATTGTCATAATCTAGACTAATGGGTCTGTCGGATATTCGGATACAAGCGTCTGCCATCTGACGATTTCCGCTTTTCGAGGACAGGGCTCCCTTGAGTCGATTCGACAGCCTTTTCGAACACCCAATTTCTCCTATCAATAGCAACTCATATTTGCTATGCCTCTAACTGGGTCAAACGGCTTTCACCATGGGCTTCGTGAACGTAAAGCCGTCAACGGCTCGTTTTCACGTTGGACATGGAAGACACCACCGTACTGCACAGGCGGGATTCGCCGGCATCACCACCAGCTTGGCCCAACCTTTCATTTACAGTCAGGCACGTCGTACAAGATGCAGGCTTCCAAATGGGCCCTACGCCGCTTTGGAATCTCTTGGTGCAATCAAGACAAGTCATATTGTCCAACCATCCCGTGGACCTGGGGATTCAGTGGATCCTTTACGAAGACGGGCATCACCTGTACCTCGCGAGTAGAAGTCGTGACAATATTTTCTTCTCTGGAACACCCAGATCGGATCTTTGGGCTGTGGTGACCCTGGTCACGGCCCCGTGTATCGCGTCGCGCAAGCTGCTCCTTATTGAGTAACACAGCCGCCTTGGGGCGGCCGTGCTGGATACATCATGTACGGGCCTTGCTCCTCAGGGCGCCCTGGAAGTGACACAGACATATCAAATGGAGATCGTGAGGTCCACCAACCGGTAGTTCCATTCAGACTGGACCTACACTCTCGTCCACAGAAGTTCGGCTGCGGCAACGTCGAGCTGTCGGCAACGTCAGTTGATGCAGCCGCCTTTCTGCTCCGCATGTCAAGCGCGAACCTTTAGGGTGACAGCAACCGTCAACGCCCAGCGGTAGCGTCACAGCGGGAAGAGGACAGCAGCGCCAGAATGGGCAGTCACATCGTCTGTTCTGTGAAAGGCAGGCGCAGACGTTGTTGTGGAGAGTTTGCGGCTCCGATGCCGTCACAACCACAGCCTGTCAACATCCTACAGGGGCAAAAGCATATTTTATCGGGCACAACTCAGGATTATTTCGGTGACACTTTTAAATCGGTTGAGGGGGGAATTGGCAATGGAAGGGAATTTTGGGTTCGATGAGATCTCGAGCAAGGCGTGCCGGGCGCAAGGCTCCCGACTCGACTCCCGAGTCCCGAGCCAGCGACGTGCATACCTTTACATTTGACAAGGTGCATAGTGCAAGTCCAGGCCCAGATCCAAGCGGCGGTCGCAAGGTTGAAAGAATCGCAGAAAGATTATTGGGAATCGGCAGATGTTGGAACCCCACTAGGAGCGTGTTAAAGGACAGTTTGACGAGATATCTGGGCTCATTATGAAGTCATTTCCCGCCGGCACAGAAGGTCTTATTGCCAGACCTGGCCGGAAGCTCCATCTGCACCCCTCGACGGTGGGAGTCATATCGATTATCGGCCTCGGTTCTCCCCACTGGCGACCAAATTGTAAAGGGGATCTGTCAAGTTTGACAGCCGCAAGGGGACCACCAGATCCAACGCTGATGGATCGGACTAGGACGATTCGAGTGGGGTGGCAAAGTGGCTAGGAGGTTTAACATCCAAACATGCCTTCTGCCGACACCATGCTCCCCGTCATAACCATGGATCAGCCAGGCTTGGGGGAGCAACCCTCATAACGCTGGACGCAAGACTGGCGTGACCAGCAGGGATCTGAAAAGGCAGAAGGGCACGAAGGGCTCACACATTGGCTTTCCCGGCCCCTGAGGGCCGAAGGGAAACATGGGGCTTGTCAGGAATCTCATCCACTCGCAACTTGTTAACTCGCCCCGCGGACAATGACCGCAGGTAGAAATTCTGGGCTTGTTCTTCGCGGCAGACCTTATCCCGGAAGCCGTGCTCAATTGGCAATCTTCTGGCGTTGCTTCCGGACATCTGAAACTGAACAGGCAGGTCCGACCGGTGCCAGAATTCGATGCCCGTTCTCCACCCGTTTGCCTTGATCTGATCCCGGCCAGCCAGCCGACTGTTGGCTTCCAATCTGCCAATTCTGGTGTATTCGTGCATACGAATATGGATGATGTTGCAACAGGAAGGGACTCCAAGGGCCCCCAAAATGATTGTACATAATCAAGATCGATGAGTAGAAGGGGGGGAGACAGGAGAAGGACAGGCACAGGGAAGAGCGGCCAGGGCCAATGCCAGACTCCAGAGCCGGATGGCGATGCTCATCAACAATCCCTACATCGTACCCAAAAGACTCCTTGTCTTCATCTATCCAGTCCACTATCCATCCGCTTCCTCATCCCCTCCCATCTATCGTCCCCTGGAGCTTGAACCCAGCCTTAACATGGTCCAAGCGCCCTGTCAAATCGTAAAAAAAAAAAAAAAACTTCATTTTGGGGCTGGGAACTCCTCCCCCGGCGTGCCAGGGTGTACCTAGCACCTGTCACGATTTCTGGCGAGCGAATCGCATTCCGTTCTCGCATCCAAGGTCTGGATGCGAATTCCCGACGACAGCGAAATTTGACATTTCTCATACATTGTCTCCCTTCTTCTAACAACGAGCGTCGTGCGGAGAGAAGAAAAGTAGAAGAGGAGACAACAGGGCAAGGGGAACTCAGCATGCAGAGATTCGTTTCTCTTCCCGATAGATGGGCTCGAATGTAGCGTACAGCAGCAGACACAGCGCACGGAATCTAGAGAGAAACTCCAGAACCTGTCGGAGTGCCAAAGCGGGCGCGGAATTGTTTCTTCACCACGTTGACCTCGAGTTATCCGCCTTCTGATTTGTCTCCGTTTCCCTTCGGATTCTCGTCATGATGTTATGTCGTGCATATCTATGACCCGCTGTCAAACCACCGTCTGTCGATGTTCGGGTACTCTCGCTGACTCTCCCCCTTCTTCTCCGTCCGTGATGCAGGCAGGGATGGGGGGTCTGCCTTCTCTCCTCTGTTTCTTTTCTTTTTCCTTTCTGGAAAATGGGACGGTTTGCAACCTACAGGATCTTGCTGCTTGTAGAATCCCTACCTACACCACACTACGCAACCCACCAACCCCATCCACGCCCTTCTCAGAATTTGGCATGGCAGCAGAAGACAGAAGGGGGCCCGACGACTTGTCACATCTGCCAACCAGTCGCATTCTCTAAAATCTCTTTTTGACAGCAAACGTTGGGGACCGAGTTGACGGACTGCGCCACGCCCACCGCACCCCCTCCCCTTTGGACATGTCGCGAAAGAAGAAACATCAGTCCCTCTATCCCCGCCCGCACGCTCGTGTAGACAAAAGTCACTGACCTGTTTGCCTCTTCTGGACGATATCCTGCGAGCGAGAGAGTGTGTGTATCCGTAGAGTATCTTGAGGTGAAGCTTGTCACAGGAAAGACAACGACACCACCACTAACGAGCCAACCGTCCAACCCGACCCGTCTCTTCGGGGCCGCTCGCAGGTTATGCTTGCCTTGCCCTGCTGCGCCTACCTGTCAACTATGGACGTTTTTTGACACCCGGCGTCAGAGCGATTTGTCACTTTCGTCTCGTTGATCTGAAGAAGAACGCCCGTGATTGACCTTCGTCTTGCCGAGCTTTGGATTGGTCAGGTCGTCCCTTCCACTTGACAGGCAGCTCGGCAAGAACATGAGAAGGCAGCAGGCACACAGATGATCCCGCGCGCGCTCTCTCTCTCGCTCTGACTTGCTGCGACTAATGCTGCTGCTGCTGCTTGCTGACGGTGGCGGCGCCCCCCCCCCCCCGGACGTTCGTCCTTGCCCAACCTCCTCTCCATTGCCATGCGATAGAAACTTGCCCATACCTGGCAAACGCCCGCTGGTACTAGTGTATGTCTCCTGTACTCTTGGACACTACACGCGAGCAGACATCAGACCAGGTACAACCGCTCGCGACTGACCATTGAGCATCTCCCTACTTGGACGAGTGTGAGACTAAAGTGCCGTAGGTTGATTTGCACACATGGGATCGAAACCTGCATATCTTCGGATCGGACACCAGTTTCTCCCCTCTTCCCCCGGAGGCGACCAACCAGCTACTCGTGATGTTTCTCTCTTTCCTCGTCTACTATTTTCCAGCTGTACTAGTTATGAAGTACCTGATAACAGCAGCGAGGTTCCCAATGCCTGAGCACCGTTCACTACCACAAGCTGAGCCAATATATTGGAACTAAGAAAAACCATGTTATAAACAAAACGGCAGTTTTTAGTATAGGAAACAAGGGGATCTACATTGATTATCTCTCGCCACAGATCTATGATCAACCACTCACTGTAACTGCTGCAACCCTGTAGAGTAGGTAGACTCGGGTAAACCTCCCTCCCCTCCTTCGTTCTCCTTACGTTGGAGATTTTCCCTGTATGCCCCCTTTTTCCCAACCAACTCCGTCCGGACCTTTTGACAAATAAGACAAGGCATGGGTAAGCCCGACCAGAATCGGCAAAGGGTATGCCTGCCTTGGTGCGACTTGCTGTTTCTCTCTTACCTCTCAGTCGTTCTCTGTGCTTGCGTATGTGTCTTTGCTGTTGAGTTGGGGGTCCTTAAAGCATAGCAAAAACCATGATCAGGTATGGATGACGTGATACCCGAGCTTCCGGGTTCAAGGGGGCAAAAGGTTAGGAAGGGGAGTGCTGTCCAAAGGGAAAAAAATAGGGGAGAGAGATACTAAGCAGAAAAGAAAAAAGAATGGATAGCATTGAGAAACTGCGGATTTTTCCAAAACGTCAAGGGCTGGCACGTACCAAGTGGAAAAAAAAGTATTTGACATTTCTGTTCGAGACGAACGGTGCTACAAGGCCATTGCCGGGTCTGTCTGGTATTGAGTCTGAGTTTGAGCCTGGTCTGGTTGTCGGACTCTTGTTCCCCCTTGTATGCCTGAACGAAAAGCCTAGACAGAAACATCCCGAAGAGACGGGAAGAAAGGGTCGCGGGAAGGGGTGATCCATGGGGAATTGAGAGGTGCATACGCTGCGTGCTGGCGGAGAAGGATGAGGGATGACCCTTTCCATCGCATCTCTCTCTGTCTCTGTCGCTCTCGTCCGTCTCCTCCATCATGCCCCCTGGCATTTTTGTCGAACGTCCGTCCGTTCAACCACCAAACCCAACTTCCAAACCCAACACCCCCTCCCCTTGGAGAAACAGGCAGGAGCGTTGTTCTCGCCTATATCTCCAAACGACACTGTGACTATCAGATTTGTAAAGAAGAGACGAAAGCAGGCAGAGGCGCGAAAGCGAGGGAGCATGGACGGGTTGAAGGGGCCAACATATGCCACCATACACAGATACACGATACAATATGGAGGGGTAGCGAGATAGAGCGAAGCATAGCACACGGGAAACAGAATAAGACGAAGAAGGGGAACACCTTACAAGGCTGTGACCAGGTTATGCTGCTGTTGCTTCTGTTACGCTACATACATACTGATTATCTTGTCCTAATGTGGTCCATGTCCGATAAACTACGATACTCCGGTTTCCGAACATCATTGCCACCATCCAACCCGCACTCGCCTGCTTGTGTGAAGGTGAAATCTCTCTCTCTCCAACTGGTTTGAACAACAAGGGCTGACGGGGCACCCACCAAGAACAAACTGCTTCCTCCAGACCGGTATCAAACCAAACCAAAGTATGCTCATCTACAGTCTTGCCATCAATGCCAACTAGAAATTTGCCCCTGATCCCAAAACATCGAACCGGGGGGAAAGAAACGCTCAATCTAGAAAGCCCAAAGTGAAAACAGAGGAGAAGGAGATGGTGGTGGTGGTGGTGTGTCGTGAATAGCATCGCATGTTGTGTGTATCCACAGATGGTTCCCAGCCCAACTCTCCTCCATTGACGGGCTCTTGCTTGGTTATGCCCTGACCATCGACATTGACACGCACACACCATACACGCCATACAACTTTCCGTCCAAAACCAAAAGTCCGAAAAAAGACGCCAGCTCGCGAGATGAAAAAGGGTTCCTGAGACGAACGCCCACGAGCATCACATCTTTTTTTCCCCTTTTCCCCTCTGGCCCTCCAAGCCAGCCCCATGTTCGGGAAAAGAAGTTCCCCCCCCCCCCCTCTTCAACTCTATAGAAAACCATGACACCTGAACCAGGGGCAAGCACGCTTTCAACGTTTATGCCCTTCGCAGAACCTTATTCAGGAAACCGCCCCGGCCCCTTTTGGGCGTTTCATCCCCGGACGGACCAACGACGACGTGGGCATCCCTCATCGTCCCGTCTTTTCCTCCGACGAGGCCGCCGCGGTGCTGGTTCTGGTTCTGGTTCTGGCGGTGATGGTGATGGTACTGCTGGTGTTGATGGCCCGGGTTCGGGGGGCTACCAAGACGAGCAGGGAGATCGCCCGCGTACTGCGCATCTCCCCTGCTGATCTTCACATAAGAATCATCTGAAGAACCCAGCGGCGTGGCGACGGCGACGGCGGCCCCTGAGTCAAAGTGGGCATGACAGCCCTCCGCGGCAAGTTTCGACATCCCACCAATCGCGGTGTTGGTGGTGTTTGTCAACGACAGCGACAGCGACGACGACGAAGAGGTTGGGGCCACGTCGATGGGTCGCCAGCTGTCACTCGCGGCGGACGTGACGGGTTTCCCTTGCCGGATGTGGGAGAGGCCTCTGTCGAGATACTCGACCAGCGGCGCCTTTGTGTCGAATCCAAAGGTTGTGGTACTGTTCCTGTCCTCCTCCCCGTCGGTGGTGTTGGCATTGACACCTCCACCTCCACCTCGTCGCAAGGCAGAGCCGCCGTCCCATCTCGTCGCTGTTCCTGTCGCTGCTTCCTCTGATGATTTGGCTGCTGCTAGTGCTACTGCTGCTGTACCCGTCACCGTTTCTGCTATTCCTGTCCCCCCACCGCCACCGCCATTGCCAGTGTCATCAGAAGCAGCGCCAGGGGCGGGCGCAGAGGCGGGAGTGTCGCGCGGCGTCTCGGCAGCCCGGCCTCCGCCACTACCGCTGTTGTCATGGACTTCCAGGGCTTTGCGGTAGAGGTCCGGGACGCGACGCCGGAACTCGGCTTCGAGGTCTCGTTCATGCTGGCTCGTCGTGGCTCGCGCGCCGCGGCCCGAGCTAGTAGCCGACGGGTCGTGGTCGTGGTTGGGATCGGGCCTCGACGACGAGGTGTAGTAGCCACTGCTATTGTTACTGCTACTGCTGGCGACTATTCCCTCGTCGTCGATTTGAGCCAGCAGTTCCTGGTACTGCGCTCTCCTCGCCGCCGCGTCATCAGTCTCTGACGGTGCGGCCGCCGATGTCTCTTGGCGGAGGGGATCCGGGTTTTGCTGCTGCTGCTGCTGATGCCCTGCCTCGCCCGACACCTTGGACCCGGTGATGGAAGTCTTGTACGAGACGTTGAACTCCTTGTAGTGGCCTTTGAGAACGAAGCACCTGCCTGGCCAGCCCCAGGTCCTGAACTTGTCGTAGAGGGTGTCGGCTAATGGGCAGTCCCGTGAGGCGTCTATGACGCGGTCGTAGATGACCATGCATGTGGTGGACTGCCACTCGCCAAAGACCTGTCTGCTGCGTTGGTCTGGGAACGCTCGCTCGATCATGTCAAATGAGGCTTCTTTGATAAAGTTTAAGGGGGCGCGGAGGTTGATTGCTCCCATGATGTGAGATTTCTCAAAGTCTGCTGGAGGACGGAGATCAATCATTAGGATCCTGCTAGAAGAAAGGACCTCGATGATTCTTTGAAGGTGATGCGGCAGTATCATCTGAGCTCCTTGGTATGCTTCTGAGGTTGGGCCACCGCCCATTCTAAGGGTTTGGAATTGCTTCGAGACGACATCCCGTTCCCGCCGGTGATGGAACCAGGCCTACTACAGTTACTATACTATTCTGAATACGTGACAGTGTGGATGATGAAGCCTACCTCGACGTGCCACAGCTCTATGCCCAAATTTGAGGCAACAAAGTTCTTTTGATCATCGTTTGGCAACGGCTCTTGCTTGTAGTACTGTTGAAGCAGGATTTCAACATGCTGTGAGAATTTGGGCGGTTCTGGGATATCGTGTAACATGGTTCTCCGCGCGCTTCTCTGCTGGTTCGGAATCATGGATCTGGATATTGGTGCCCCATCCGATGATACTTGAGAAGATGAGGTGTGGTGCCGTTGTAGGGTTCCAATCGAAGCTGTTGAGTTTGGCGACTGAAGGGGCCGCGATGGTCTGACGATTGGCGACGATAATGGTGATTCAGCGTCTAGCTCCTGGATGTTGGTCTGTCCTCCTTCGTTTACTCTCACGTTTGGTTCACTGCCTCTCACTTGCGTCCCTACGACGCTGCCTGTTATCGTTGGAGCATTCGTGTATGTGACTTCCGAGAAAAATGTGCCCATCGACGCGGAGTCCGGTTGTGTGTTGTCATGCGCTATACGTGCGCCTCGGCTCACCGGAACATCCACCCTAGCCTCTTCGTCCTTGCGACTCCTCTCTGACACTAGGTTATTGGAACGAATGAAGGCTATGAATGAGGTTGCATGGTCCTCTGGCAGGAGATCCCACACCATGACTGGCATAGATAAGAGGAGCAATGTGGAATGACTCTTGAATACCCCCTGGACTTTGACGTACTTTGCCAGGGCTGGGAAGTTGGATAACCACTGCTCCCAGGCGCTCAGATCCAATTGCTGATTGTCTTCCAGTGCCAGCGAGATCATGACATGCGGCGTATCCTCATTCGGCTCCCCTGCCATTGGTGCGCCAGGCCCTCGCCCACCTATCATCCCCTCGGGCGATCCGCTCTCGTCTGCAGTGATCGCGGCATCCAATGGCGGCGATGGCGGCCGCTGCTCAGCCGGCACGACCCGGGACAACTCGATGCTCGGCGCCTTGTGGTTCGACGTCATCATGAAGTGAACTGGCGTCGACCTGGCCTCGAAGACCTTGCCGTTGATGTTGACGGGGCGCGGGTGCTTTAGGCGGGCGAGGACCTCGGCGTGCAGCATGGCCGCGGAAAAGGTGCGGAGCCTCCACTCCTGCATTACCTCAATGAGGGCGTTTGTGAAGGAGTAGCGGCCCGGATCTGGGGCGATGGCGTCCCAGCTCGAGGCGGAGATGGTCTCGGTGATGCTGTTGCCGTTGGGAAACGTTGCGCTCGCCGCTCCCGCGCAGCAGTCGAGGAGGATGAGAACGTCGGATGCCGAGCGCTCTAGCAAGGTCTGAATGGCAGACCACTGGAGCCATGGCGAGTCGGGATGTCGAGTGCTAATGAATTTGTGAGAATATGAGTGATGAAGATGAGATAATGCTGCAGACTTACGCGCACCAAGTGCTCTGACGAGACTCATCTATCCTGGCATGGCCGCCGTAGTAGACTAAAAAGAGCGTGTCTTGAGCCTCGTGGTCCTTGATCAGCTTACCGACCTGCATCATGAGCTCTAAATGTGAATTCTCAGACGGTATAGGAAAGATTTCCGTGCCAAAGGCATAATCTTCGCGGAGGCACCGTTCCAGGTCCTCCAGCTCAGGTAACACAAAAAGGTCATCACAGCCCCAATGCAGGAGCAAGGCCTGCACCTTTGAATACCGCTGTGACGATTTTCCGCGGTTCGGAAATGCTCGGTTTGCAGACTTTGTGGATGAAGTGTCAGTATGTGACCTGGATCATATAACCTAGCCTCGTCACTTCATCTTTCAACTTACATTCTCCAAGGTCTGAGCGAAGCTATCGAGGTGCTTGACGTGATAGCTCACGCGGCTGATATCATGTGTGGCGGGCCGAGGCGCATCGCCGGAGCTGGAACCGTACTGATCATGGCCGGCTTGTGAGTCTACACGTACTCTGCGCGACTGGATCGCCGAGACCCTGGCACCTACAGTTGAGTCTGCACTGCTCACGCTGTTCCCGTCATGGGGTCGCCGAGACCGAATGGTCACATACGGCTGGTGATCGCCCATGTTCACTGGCTTTCGAAGCAAGCCTTGGCCAATCTATGAGTCGATATGTAGGTATTCAAGTTGCAGTTATACGCGCTTTCGTGGCCAAATAGTGAAACACGGCGCCGGATGTCTCTTTTACCACAATTTAAGTATTCATGAGATGTAAATAGTGACACGGAAAAAAACCAAATGTGCTAGGAGGGCCGTGGAAGCCAAATGGTCTGTAGAAATCGTAGTGACGTCTGATGCATCGTCAGGTACAGCAAAAAAGAGCCTCTGGGTTGTGAGAGAGGGAAAAGTAAGAGAAAAGATGTCGTCGGCGGTGTCTTTCGACAAGGCCCCGTTCGTCTCGGTCGACGGAAGGCGGACGGGTTGGAGGGGCATCCCACTCCGCGCCAGCCTCGGTAGCTAAAACGGCTTAGCGTGGCTGATGAGCCGGTGACCGAATGTGGCAGGGCGGGCTGGACCCGTGAAAGTATGGGTCCAGTTTTAGCCCCCACACGTGCTGAGCTGGCTTATATAATCCTGTACATGCTTGGTATGTTGTGGCTGAGTGTGGCTAGTGCCTCAGATAGGTAGCACCTACACCATAAGCTTGGTTGGAGTCAGTGGATGTCCCTGGATTCGGCACCGAGCGAAGTGTCCTCAGCAACGGGTCTCCAGCTCCGACATCGATGCCAACGGACCCATCCGAGCACACTGTTCACTCACTGATCACACCAACCCGTTCACGTCACCGGAGAATCCACTTTCATTGACCTTACCACCTTGCATCTCGTTTACTTGTCTTCTGGTAATATTCAGAGCGTTTACGGATACATTGAAGCGGAACTCATTTGCCCCAGTCTGCAGCGAGATTGCGTAGGTCATCGTACAATATGCGTCAGCGAATCACCTTCATTCATAAGCCTAGTGACGGCGCGCCTCCGGAGTCTCTTGAGATTAGCGATGCCGGCGTAAAGGGTCCCGAGCTCTTATCTGTCAGGGAAGATAGAATAACCTTGGCCCTTGAG